CATAATTGTCATGACCAGTACATAAAATCTAAACATTAAAAAGTAATAAAATATATATCTACGTATAACAATAAAGCATTTATTTCATTCAATTTATAACCCTTCTTTTAAAAAAAAATATCTACTTTTATTTTAAATTTATTTTATTTTAACTATGTACAACTTATTGAATTTTTGTTATATACAGTGGAATCATAAAATGTCTGTACAAAAACATTGCTATTTAAAACATATTTTTGAATTAAAAAACAAACAAATTGAATGAAATTGTTCCTTAATCATAAGTGCACTAGTGGATGAGCAGACAGACGGACAAACATTGTTTCATAACATGTTATAATTAGTGTGACAATGAATTTACAGTCAACCTAATGGTAAGTGGCTATCTCTGCCCATGGACACCTGCAACTAAATTCAAATAGAAAAAACCTCTTACCTTTCAAACTGGAATACACCAATAAGTCTATAAACAGCAGAACACAAATTATGTCTAATTACTTTGATACTACTCCCTAACTATTCCTGCTTAGCAGGAGTGAACCCATTGCTGTATTACGGTTTGAATTTGGTTGCAAGTGTCCATTGGCTGAAATAGTCACTTACCATTATTATATAGATAGGATATTAGATATAGATGGACTGTAAATTCATTGTCACACTATTCTTACATGTTATATAATAATGTTTGTCCATCCATTAGTGCCCTTAAGTGCGAGTGTAGTGACTCAATAACCATTTCATTCAATTTATGTATTTGTTTTTTAATTCAAAGACATGTTCTTAATAGCTGTTTTTGTACTTATACTTTAGATAGCAATGAGCAGTGACAATAGTAGAAAATAAAGTTGGAAGATAGCTGTCACTCTCTTGCAACATGCCACCATTTCGTTTCCTATTAAATTAGATATTTATAAAATTCACTGCCATAATCACCTTTGGCAGGCAGGCTGATGATTGATGAGACCAAGAATATCTGATGGTAACAAATCAATTAATTATGGGAGAGACAATGAAGAGAAAATGGGACGGGACATGATGTAAATAGAGCAAGTGCCCAATAAATTCCCTTTTTATTGGGGCAAGAATAAAAGGAGGATATAGTGTTAGTCTTCATTAACATCATCATCATTACAGGGCTTTACCAGTCTACTGCTGAATATAGGCCTCACCCAAGGAACACCATAAAGTACAGTCGTGAGACACCTACATCCATTAACATCCAACAGAAGCAACAGTAGCCTAATGGTAGTGCTGTGGTGAACGACTCAAACCATACTATGTAATTTTAGGCTCACTAAAAATCAAAATTGTTTCACTAATGCCACTTTTTATTTGTTTACTTATTACAGACTATTAAGATCTACTGTTGGACAAAGGTCACATAGATTGCCTCATAAGAGGGAAATGTGCTCTACTTGCCACTCTTGGCATTCAGGTTGGCAAGTGCGATTTTTTATTTTCTAGTTATTAGGAAGAGGAATGTCGCTTCTTACAAAACCCACGGCACAATATGGGGTAGTGATTTTTCTTGTACCTCCGCTACATGGTCAAAAAATAAGTGCTTTGTAGCCAATTTTGAATTATAATATTTTGACTGAATGGCAGAGTCGTAGAAAACTTGTATATATAAAGGGAAAGGAAGAAAACATTATAAACTTCGATCAATAATAGTACTAGATTAAGGATCAGGAACAAAATAAGTCCTTCAAGTGGCCAAGTTTGAACACACTTAAACATTTATATTTCTTACTATGAAATATAGAAAAAAGTTTAATTCTATTAACAACTTCAGATTATTATAAAAGTCCTGTCTATCAGATAAAGATGTCCCTTGAAAATAAAAAAATCATAAGTACAAAAATATTTCTTCTAAAATGAAACTTAAATTCTAAGTAATAAAGTTAAAAACATTATGTTGACAATTTCGTGCTTACTCTTACTCTTTTGGAACTGTTTCTAGGTTCACTTCAATGTTTATTACAATAGTTGCAGCAAACATCCAAACAATGATAATTATATTAACTATTTATATAAACAAAAATATTTTATGAAAAACAATGATATAAACTTACCGAAAAAAAGATATTCCTTCGAAAATCTTGGTGTTACAGTAGTTATTTACACAGTTTTTGAAAGCGCACTGCGGCATTTTGACATCTTAACATTGGCTATGATTGGATCATATTAATTTGAAATAAGACCACAAATTTATTTGTGGTCTTATTTTTCGGGCTATTTTTGAAGCGCTTATTGGGCATCTAGTACTATTATTGATCGAAAATTATAAGTTAAATAAACATTAACTTACATTAAATATTTGTTGAGTCACCCAATTGTGATACTGTTTAACTGAACCTTCATAAGCTAGTGTAAAAATTTTTTTCATGTTTGCATCATACTGTTGGAACTTTAAATTTCTCAACAGTTCTTGAAATGTTAACTCAAAAAATAGTAATGCTCTGAAAGTATAATTAATTACTTATAAAGACTCATATGTATGTATTAAATGAATTATAAAGTCAAATATTTAATCATAGAAATCCTATATCTTTAAACGAGCAATTCCTGTATATATATATATATATATATATCCTGTATATATATATATATATATGTATAATTTTTTTATATATATATACATTTCCGATTATATATATATATTTATATATATAATCGGAATGTCGGAAATGGCTCCAACGATTTTCATAAAATTTAGTGTCCAGAGGGTTTTAGGGGCAATAAATCGAATCTACCTAGGATTCATTTTTAGAAAATGTCATTTTGTCAGTGTTTTAGGGCAATGAAAAACTGCTACAATATAAGAAGGTAAATTTTGACACTGTATTAATGATCATAATAGCTCAAGTAGATATCGGCCCATCGAGAAATCGTAGTCCCATGTTTCGCGTCCTGTCTTCGGTCTGACTTTTTTCCTTTTTTTTTCAAGTTCTCTTTTGTGAGAAAATCTATTATTTTGAGCCCTTTTTTAATATTTTTTAAAAAATACGAAAATTTAATTGCACTCATGATTTCTTATTTAAATAACCAGTTCAGTTTTTCTATAATGTCGGTAAGATCGAAAAATATTATTCATATTTCATCAGTATGTATTTTGTATCTAAATATAATTTCTAAAAAATATACCAAGCAAAGCTCGGTCATCCGGGTACTTTACCTGTTAAGCCACAAAACACTCTCTGCTGCTATAGGTTTGCCATTATGAATCTCTTCAAGCATCAGCTCAAGCAAACAAGAATCTTCCTTATATTTGTAATGTTTTATTATTTTCTAAAACAAAATAAATATATATATATATATAACAGAACCTTAACGCCCAAATGAAATGATAATATATCATTCCCATTTTATTATTTCAGTGATGAATGCGTAATCTGTTCAATCAAGTTCTGTGATTAACAGTACCTTAAGATACTAATAGTAGTTATATATTAATAAAGATTTATTGCACTTAACAGAGGCCAACATCATCATATTTTCAACATTTATATGCTTTTGATATCCCACTGCGATGTTGACCTTGTTGTAAACTGACTTAATAATTTATCTAAATATGTGGCAGCAGAGCCATGCTGCAGCTATATAATACTTATTGCAAGTATAAGTCAGCTTGACCGGGAAAGGGTGATCCTTCCCCGTTCTAGCTGACCTCTCACAGAATACCACTTGTGCAACTGCGATATAACGAAACTGAAGGGAATTAGAAAATATTTGTTACACCAAGTAATTCATTATATAGAAGTTAGGTGGGACTATGTGTTGTGGTGGACCTCTAGTAATCATGCCCCTGGCTAATCCCCACTTATAATCTGACAAACTTTTAACATAACATATAGAATCGAGTCAGGTTATGAATCCACCACGGGGGAGCTGGTCTTTACGAATATGTGGATAAACACGTTGCAATTTGTTCTCGGCACCACAAATATATCTTTATGCATATTGTCTCAGTTTAAATGTGACTATGGTAGCAGCCTAGCAGGCATTCATCATTTACTATTTATTTACTTATTGACTTATTTTTATTATGTTATATTTCATATGTAATTTGTCGGGTTACAAGGTACTCTTTTTCAAAAAGTTCTGGAGTACCAGTGGGTTGTGGCAGTACTTTATAATATATAGTTAAACAAATTTGATAATCCGACACCTTGCAAAACGTTTGTCGGATTACTATGGGTCAACAGTATTCCGCAATGCTCAAAATTTCATTATAAAGAGGTTTTTGATTAATGTATTCATAATGTGGGTATATTTTGCATTAACCCTTACAGGCAATTATAGAGGATTTCGAAAAACGCGTTATATCGAGGAATTCGTTATATTGAGGCTCGATATATCAACAATACACTGTAATAGTTTAATGCTGCTGTGTTTTATACACATTGTTTTTTATTTATTGTCATTGTTTTCAAAAAAACAAGGATTTCAACATTAATCATTATCCTCAGAAGTGACAACACATTAGCGTTATTCTCGGTTAAAATGTAGATGTCTATGGGGCTATAGCATTTACTTACCATCAGGAAGATGTGTTTGTTTGTCACCCTCATTCTATAATATAAAAATAAAAAGTTCTAATCTTTATACTAGGTATTGAAATAAAGATATAATAACATTAATTATACTTACGTCAATATTTCCTTGCATATCATGTTTAACAGGAACAAATACTTTTCCGAGTCGATCTGCAATAGCCCTTAATACTTATTTACATTTTTAACATTTTTAAACTTATGTTGAATATAAGGACATACCAACTAAAACCAGAAGATCCGAAGTTGCTTTCATAAATTGCACAAAATTTATTCTCCCGTCATCAGTTGGAAAAAAATTGATTTCTTCAAAAACAAAGTTAGTAGGTGATATTATAGGACTTGCCATTTTAAAAGTAATTTAACAAATTAATATAGCTATCGGCTTAATTTAATGATTGTATGTTGAATACGCACGCTTCATATAACGATGTACATAGTAATTTTTTAACGTTTTTTAAGCTGAAACGTAAAAAATTTTGTCAAGACTTATGTTAAAAAAATGTAAACATTATTTGACATTTGATGTCGCAGACTACATTTTTTTCTATGGTCGTGGACTCATACGATTATACTTTTGCCAGTGTCAAGAAATAAGTTATAATACGTTTTTGCACAGTACTTAAGTTATATATAAATCATAATACGAAAACTATAATCGAATAGGTACCTTAACGAAACAGAATTACACATCCGCACATACCTATAAATATTATTGTAATACGTACTGGCTATATAGGCTTTTGTTACGTTAAGACAGTGCGGTTTACCATCTAGGGCTTCATCACCATTTACCTCTAGGTGGGATTGTAGTCAAGCACTAGCATAAAAAATTAAAAAAGAAACCAATTATTTTATCACACCTTCGCGAAAACCTTTAGAATACAAGTCAAAGAACTAAGTAATTTAGAGATTGGGCGAAAATGAAAACCTGCGTGTTATGGAACGAACGTTGGACGTTGTTTTTTCCCAATAAAAGGATAAATTAAAATGGCGACTATGTTTTTGTTACAATAAAATAAAATATACTTACATGTTTATGTTTGCTTCAATTGTAACTAAGCATGTACTTATAGTTTTTATGTCATAATTTTATAATATTATTTTCAAGTTTAAATGTTTCATTTTCGCCCATACTCTAATATATTTTTTTTGTATTAACCGTTACTTTATATAGTTTTATTCAAATTGAAGTTATAAACTAAAGCGTGTAAAAGCTATAAAAGCAAATAATACTCAACATACTATTGTCATTTATATATCACTTTGATAGTCTTTTTATCACTTTTAGAATTCAATAAGAAAATGTTTGTTTAAGGACATTTCCTAAATCGTCTTCTACCACTATTGTCAACACTTTACTTTTTGGGGAAAAAGTAAATGGCACCAAAAACCTTTTTTCTGGTAATACATTCGTAAATTCGTATGAATCTAACACCATTCCATTTGACTCATCTCTAACCTCAACTATTCTTATTCCAGCTGTAGAGATAATCATCATTTTATTTTTATCGAATTTGAGATACCTAGTTATAGCTTGTCTTTCTCTTCCATATTCATTATTGAACCATCTATGATAGGATAACAGAACTGCACAATTTCGACTCCAATAAACAGAATCGTTGCCGTTCGATCTATTCATATTTTTTCTTGATTCAGATAATCTATTCGTTACACTTGAATATACACTAGATGGTCTTGTAATTGGTGTAATATTCGGGCTTCTTCTTACTATATCTGATTTAGACATTGAAGCAAAGTTTCCTAATGTAGTCTTACTTCTTGGTCCTAAAACACGTAGCGGTTCTGCTACGTTCATCGTAACGCTAATGTTACGTTGCAGCGAAACTGTTGAATGCTGTACTGGCTTACCATTCAAATTATTCATATTGTCTTTCGTTAAAGAAGATCTTTTGTCTCCTACTAAGAACACCCGGTCAATATTATCAAAGCCTCTTCCCATTATGCCATCTTTGGTATGCCCAAGATCGAATGTATGACCTAGTTCATGAAAAACAGAGCCTAATGTGGTAGCAAAACATCCTCCTAATGTGTTTCGGTATCCACTATCATCCATAAACCTACGTGTGTTAACAGGGGAACAATCTAAAAATTTTGGAACGATTTCTTCCACACATGTAGGCCATGTATACAAACAAGCTGTTCCAAATAGGGCTAAACCGCCTCCGCCTAGAGCCGCATATGCTTCTGTTAATGAAATTATTTCATCGTGTGTCATTGGTTTGTCAATATCAGTGCCTTTATATCTTGTACAGGATATAAACCCTAGATATTTTCGTTCATTACTGCCTAAATCGGAGAGCATTATTTCTCTACCGAAATGGGTCCATAGTTCTCCTTGTTTCATTTTTCTCGCTTTGTTTACATTTAAATTACTTCTGAACACTATACATTCAGGCTTTTTAGGATTAACTTCATGTTCTAGTTGAAACGTTTTTCGCCCAACACCACTTTCATATAGTTTTTCAGCAGTTATGCTTTGAATTAACTTGGAGCCGACAGCTATTCGCGAGCATGCACTCTCTATAGAACTGTCTACGTCAGGTGGACTTTGGAAGCAGCCATCATGACCTTGACAAATAATATACATCGGAGTCACTCTCAGATTTGTTTTTCTTGGTGCATATTCAAGGACTAATGTTTTATGATATTGTTCTGCATACTCTAAATCAATAATATTTTCTCCTCTTCTTAACTCTAATAATATCTTGAATTCTCTGTTGTAAACTTCCCACTGAGATACTTTTTGAGGTTCATTGAATCTTATTGTGCACTTTAATTTAATGTTATTGCTACAGTCACCTGATGTTATGATCCCCTTAATTATAACAAGTGCATAATTAACAATATCTCCATTTTCAAAATTTGTAACGAAGATTGGTGAATTTTGCTCATTTTTATTTTCTTCAATTATTCGGTTGTCCATTACCTGTAAATTGTCAGACGTCGAATCTGTTAATACGGTCGTCATATCAGTTTTTTTTACTTAGCTCCTTTATTTGCAAGGTTTATTTTGTATTCTCAGTTTACATGATAATTAGGTTAAGTGCTCACGGCAATGACGGGTGACCTTATTCATGGGCTGTATTATACGTAAGCGTAATTCAATACGCTTTACAATACAAGTGATTGCGTGCAGTTTAGTTTATCTTTATCTTATAGGTCGTCATAAATGAATAGTTTCGCACTTAGTAATGACTCACCATGATACGGTAAGCGTGGAGCGCGCAGAACCGGCGCGGCGGGTGGACTGCGGGTGCGGGCGGCGCGGCGTGACAGTGCAGCGGCCTCGCCACATTACGGTGTTGTACCTCCTCACTTCCCTCTAGGCCGAGTCTCGTATAACGTACAGACTACAGAGTACAGACGAAGTGCGCATGCCCGACGGTGCAGCCGACGCGCCTCGGTAACGATTGAACACACCACAGACACAGACTAGCTGTCTCCACCGGATAAGAGGGAATTTGAATGATTCGTTAAAGGAAATCCAGACAGGAATGAATCACGCTTGCGTATAGCCAATTAACTAGCCATTTGCTTGTTTTTTCATCTAGATATTTACAATGAGGCTATTCTATTTTTAAAGTGAGAGACTTAATATTAGACTTCAAAGATAAATTGAGCGCAATTTAACATCTAATATGGAAATTCGTATTTTTTATGGATAAATTATTTCTGTTCGGTGTAGATTACAAATAAATGTTATTAAAAATCAAGTTACAACTAAGTTTTTATTAACTAGTCTATTTGTTGCACAAGATATAAAATTTTAAAAGCCGGCAGTGTTGTGGAAAGTTCATAAAATAAAATGCAAGTTCTTTTGTTTGTAATTTCTGAATACTTAAAAATGTTTCGAATTTACTTTCTTTGTTATTACAGAAAGTGATAGTAGTAAGTATTGTCCTTATATTTTAGTTGATTTCTGTTTGTTCTACATTTCTTATTTTCTAGTAGTAAGTTAAACATTTTCAGTAAAAGAAAGAAATATTAAGCGCCTGATGTTATTATGCCAACTTCCAACTTTTATGTGAAATGGCTAAAGTGTCATACAAGGCGATCGGCATAGTTTCTTATTGCTTTTTGTTTTCAAATTTATATCACTTAAAATAAGTGAATTTAAGATTCTTAATAAAGGTTATTGTAATTGTTCCGCGTCTAAATGTACTGACCACCTGCACAATATACTATAGGAGAACATTTCAATACGGTAAAAATATACGTGGTAGAGCCATGCTGCAGTTATATTAGTAGTATAGTTGTAGCACGAATGGGTCGGCTCGACCGGGGAAGGACCACGCTTTCACAGAATACCAGCGTGAAATAGTAGCTTAATGCTGCTGTATTTCGTATGGTGGGTGTAGGGAAACGGAAACCCTTTTTTAATGAAAACGAGGCATTCCATCTCAGTCATCACGGGTGACAACGCATCTGCATTTTGATTTTTAATGGAGGATAGATGTAGATGTCTATGGGCCGCAGCAACCACTTACCATAAGGTGGACTGTGTGCTCGTTTGTCACTCTATTTTATAAAAAAAAAATATACGGGAAGGTGACTCCAACGGTTTTTATAAAGATAAAACATCTCATTTCAGGCTAAGTTAAATTAGTCGGGCGTTTCTTTTTGCCTAAAAGTTCTCGATTTTGTGAATTAAATGTCTGCTAATGTAAACAATTCGTGTAAACTATGAGTCAAAAAACAGTTCTGATAAAACAAAGAGATTATGTCCATTTTGGTGCTTCAGACACCTGCTAACGTTTTTCCAGTGTACATACATATACGTACTATATTTATAAATACTATACTATTTTTTTTATAGTTTTGCTATCGTTCTCGACTAAGTACCACAGAGTACATTATATACCTGGAACAATGGCCCTGCTAAGTATCTACTGATTTCTTGCTAAGTATTGATTCCTGAAAGTTCTGTCGTCGAAATCACACTGTTCCTTTTTTCAATAATTAAATTCTTTAAATAAAACTGGTTTTTACTGATTTAATGCGTATATTAACTTAAGTAAAATCCGTGAAAACTAGTTTTATTTAAATGTGTAGTGTTTGCATAAATATAAGAAATTATAATTGGATTGTTGCTAGTAAAACAAAAATTACATACCTACATCGAATTTCAAATTAATCTTAAAAATAGCTTAAGTATGAATCCAATTTAAAAGTAAACTTACACATCCAGAGTATTTATTTGTAGTAAGTAAATCTCTCAATTAGTAACTTTTTTATATTGGTAGTTTCTTAATTTTTTTTATAGAATAAGGGCGACAAACGAGCACACAGTCCACCTGATATTACATGGATGCTGTGACCCATAGATATCTACATTTATCCTCGATTAAGAATCAAAATGCATATGCGTTATCACCCGAGGACTAAGACGGAATGCCCCATTTTGGCCTAATTTGCGCGATGTGTAAAAAGCTACCTTGTTTTAATTATTTATGTAGCATGATGAAAAACAGTGCGTTCACAAAAAGTTTATTTGCGACACTATAGAGAATTTAATCAATGAAGAGATTGAAATCGGGAAATATGTAGCTGGATATTTAAATTAACTTTTTCAAAACTTTTAATTGCATGTAACATAATATTATTACTTTAGATTGAAATATTTGAAGTCCTTAGTGGCTTCAATCTGGCCCTAAGCTTGCGATAGTCTTGTATCACCCTCACCCCACATGAGAAAATACACAAATGAGCGTATTGCTTCTTCAACTCGTATAAAAATCGTTAAAAATTGTATAATTTTTAATGAAATTTCATAAGAAAATAATAAAAAGAGTTCCTGGGATTCCCTTCCTAGGGATCAGACGCGTGACTCACGGATTTTACGCGGTAACATATGCAAGTCCCTTCGATTATTTTTATCGCTAGCTTTATGTCAACTTCGTTCAAAGTTTTCCTTGACCCGTCCTACAGAAAATCTTTCAAAAAACCTTTTAAAAAGTGCAGACCCAGAGATTTATATTATAACTAGTCTGGCCATAAATACTGTAACATAAAAACTTTTCTTTTTTTCAACTTTTTAATTTGGAAACCAACTTTTTGGACTTTGGAACGCGTTCATTATTTTAAAAAGTTCTTCCGATTTCGCGCCATTTCACATATTTTTTTGTGTTTATTATCAAATTACAATATGGAATGGGATATTAAAGAAAATAGGATTGCGGTAATCGCCTTGCACAAAGTGATTATGGAGCCGACGGTCATATTCCAGACACTTCAAAACGTAGACAGAGAAACCTATAGACAAACTGACGCCTTCTTTCGCATTCGCACACGAAAAAGATAGTTTTATGCGTACGTCTTGTATAGAAATGAGACAGAGCGGTGTGATTGTTTGTCCCTTTCTCCGTGCCGGTTTTTTTGTTTAGCAAACTACACTTTGCTAAACAACTTTGACAGTTCGTAGTGATATAAGGAGTTTACAAGTTGGTTTAAGTGAGAAAAAAAAGTGTTCTGTGAGCTTAAGATTGGTGAATCTTGTTCAGTTTAGTTCTTAGAACAATTATTTTTTTTGTATAAATTTTCTTTTCTGGGTTATGCTAATCAAGTTTCTGTCTAGTTCAAGCTTGGTACTACGTACATGCAACAACACTTCCTCTATCGAAGACCATAAAAGATCGGGGCGGTCGTGTGTTGTTAGAACTACAAAGGCTGTGAATGTTGTTAAATTCGTCAAAATCCCATTAGGAAGCAAAAAATCTTATTGCAAGAAATGAAGATTCCCGCTAGGACTCTGTCGCGTATTATAAAACAAGACCTGAAGCTTGGTACTTATCGTCGATAAACAGGATATGCCCTAAATAAATCTTTACATTGTGCAGTCGAAGGGCACAAAATTATCCTCTTTAACGATGAATAAAATTTCAGAATTGAAGAGCACTACAATAAGCAAAATGATAAAGTGTACGCTCATAGTTCTAAAAGAGCTGCTCAAGTGGTCGCAAAGGTACAACGTGGTCGTCATCCTGCGTCAGTGATGGTTTGGTGGGGCATGTCTTATCAAGGCGTCACAAAGCTACATTTTTGTGAAAAAGGAGTGAAAACTTCAGCCAAAGTGTGTTGAGAGACTGTCTTGGATCGTGTTGTGAAACCTCTCAGCAATACACTTTTTAAAAATGTACCGTAGACTTTCCAGCAGGACTCTGCACCTGATCACAAGGCACGAACTACCCAAGCCTGGCTTGAGACTAACGTTCCGGACTTTATACCTAAGATCTGAAGACTGGCCCTCATCTAGCCCAGACCTACCTCAACCTTTAGACTACAAGTTATGGTCAGTTTTAGAAGACATGGCTTTCTGTAAACGACACGGCGGCATTAAGTCTCTTAAAAAAGATTAAAGGCCTGTATAAAAGCCAAAGGTGGCCATTTTGACTAGAATATTGTTTTTATTTTGTGCTGAGACTTTAATAAATATGTACATATAAGTTTTGGTAATATTACATTACTTCATTAAAAATGCTTTATAATTCGTACAAGAACTTATGGTAGGACTAGGTAGGGTATATATATATATATATATATATATATATATATATATATATATATATATATATATATATACAACATGTAACATAATTAACGCACTTTGAGAAAGTAGTTTGTTCAGAATCGTTTACTGAATCGATTCCTATCATTTTTAATATAGGTAATTTTTTATTCCAAAAATAATTAAAACTACGTAAATTTCAGTCACACTAAATCTGTACAGTCAAAACAAACTGAAATGGACCTTAACTTAAGGCAATAAGACTTTTGAGAGTGCAGTTTTATTTGTATTATTACTAATTCTGTCATTCTATTAAATAAAGAAAAATTAACTTTAATTCAAGCACGTTAAAGTTTTTGCGTTCGTGGATTTGTACTGTGACGACAACATTCATCCGGAATTAGTATAACTAATTTGATAAATAATCAGTGCATAAAAATGTTCTAAATTAAAAATTCAGTGTATGTATTATGATTATAACATAATATATAGGTATAATATAATATATAGGTACTAATTGGGGTGTCTGAGGGTGTGCGTTAATTACGTTACACACATATATATATATATATATATATATATATGTATATAAAATTTATTTGAAAGAGATTTCTTTCAGTATCGCTTTTTAACTGACTTAAAAAAAGGAGGAGTACATAAAGATAGAAAGTAGGACTGTTGTATAGTATAGTATATTAA